GCATAAAATCTTACCTTTTAGGCCTCTACTACATTCCTATAAGAATATAATATTCCCTAAGAGTAACTTAACACTCTATTTACAAAAAACACTGAGGGCCCTCAGGGATAATAAAAGGTTATTTTATCATACAGGACATAAAATTTATCTATTCTTATCCAGATACTCATCAAAGTTAAAGCATTCCTCATTTATCACTATTTTCTTAGCTTTTATAACACACACTATTAGTAGAAATTTTCAAAAAATTTTCATAAAATTTTCAGCTATTTTGTTTGGTTTTTGTGGTACTGGGGATTTGAACAAAGGGCCTTACATATGAAAGGCAAGTAATCTACCACTGAGCTACCATCCAATTTTATTTTATTTTGAGACACAGTCTACTTAATTTGCCCAGTTAGCCTCAAATTTGCAATCCTGGGGCTGGGGTGAGGGCTCAGCAATAGAGCGCTTGCTTAGCACATGTGAGGTTCTGGATTCAATCCTCAGCACCACATATAAACAAATAAATAAAGTATTGTATCCAACTACAACTAAAAAAATAAATATTAAAAAACAAATTGCAATCCTGCCTGGGTCTCCCAAGTCATTAGGATTATAGACATGTACTACCAAACCAAACTTTCAGTTCTTTTTTAAAAAATACTCCAATATTTACCTATTCTCTCAATTGTAAGACAGTCTTACATCCTGTGAGAGAGCATTTCTTTTGTGAAAAGTACACCTAGGGCTGGGATGTGGCTCAGCGGTAGAGCGCTCGCCTAGCATGTGCGAGGCCCCAGGTTCGATCCTCAGCACCACATAAAAAATAAATAAATAAAATAAAGATATCGTGTCCAACTACAACTAAAAAAAAAAAAGTACATGTAACAATGCCAGGTGGACCTGTGTGTGGACTGTCTTTAAAGCAAGGCAGAAGGAAGCTGGGGATGGTGGCACAAATTTGTAATCACAGCAGCTTGTGAAACTAAGGCAGGAGGATCAGGAGTTCAAAGTCAGCCTCAGCAATGGCAAGGTGCCAAGCAACTCAGTGAGACCCTGTCTCTAAATAAAATACAAAACAGAGAATAGGGCTAGGATGTGGCTCAGTAGTTGAATGCTCCTGAGTTCAATCTCCAGTATCAAAAAAAAAAAAAAAGTTAAAAAGATAAGGAAAGAGGAATAGCAGAAATTTTCAAGGTTATCATTTTATCATCTCAAACATCTCAGTAATATTCCCATAAGCTTCCCTCTTTCCAAACTAACTCTTTCCTGTGTTCATCATCTTTCAAAAAACATTACTTGTACAAAGCTCTCTGCATTATTCTAGGTTTTCTGTCACTTTCTGGATAAAAGGTTTTAAGAACAGGAATCTGCATGACAATTCCACTTCTTTATCATTCTCTGCATTTTCTATTATCTTGTTAAAATTCTGCCCAGCATCCTTCACCTTTAACTGCTCTCACTTTGGCCATAGGTCTACACTTATCACTTTGCTTTCAAAAGAATGTGAAACTGCCAAGTAATAATTCAACACAGGCATCCAAAATTAAACAAGATTCTTATATTATCTATTCTCTCTAATTCCCATTCTTAAATTCATGCTTTACAAAGTTAGTTGAATCAAGAAGCAATATTATCTCTTAGAATCTATCAAGTTCTTGCTGGGCATGGTAGCACATGCCTGTAATCCCAGCAATTCAAGAGGCTAAGGGAGGAGGATTGCAAGTTTGAGGCCAGCCTCAGCAATTTAGTGAGACCCTCAGCAACTTTAGCCAGCTCCTGTCTCATAATAAAAAATAAAAAGGCTGGGGATGTAGTCCCTGGGTTTAATTCCCAGTATCAAAAATAAAAAGCATCTATCAATTTCTCAATTGTAAAGAAGGATGAACTCTATTAAATGCAGGAATATTCTACAGCCTTCTAACATTTTGGTTGTACTTACTATTTTTAAATATATTCAGTAATCAGTCTATTTGACACCCATCCATCAGTGCTAAAAAGTCAAAAACACTCTTTACTTAGAATTTTTATTTTCCTTTACCTGAACGAATTTTGAAACAAACTGATATAATACTAAAGAAGGGATATGCTGCCAGGAATGGTAATGCACAAGCCTGTAAACCCAGTAGCTCAGGAGGCTGAGATAGGAGGATCACAAGTTCAAAGCCATCTTCAGCAACTTGGTGAGGCCCTAAGCAATTCAGCGAGACCCTACATCTAAAATAAATGTTAAGAAAAAGGGCTGGGGATATGGCTCCAGTGGTTAAGCACCCCCCGAGTTTAATCTCCAGTACAAAAAAAAAAAAAAAAAGATATGCTCATGGTCCCGGAGAAAAGAGACTTAGAACCAAAAGAGGAGTATCAGACAGTCTGGTTTAAGCCACTTGCATCAACATCTCTAACAGTCTTAGGCAATATGTAAGCTCTGTGTTCTCATCAGTTGATCTGTACTTAGAACCTAGAGCCCAGAAAGGTATGTAGCAACGACTAAAGGGATTCCTACCCCTTAAATGCAAATAACATTCAAGCACACTTGGTTCAAAATGATGCACTTTTATCAAGTACTTTTTTTTTTTGGGGGGGGGGTATTAAGGATCAAACCCAGGGCCATGCACATTTTAGTCAAGTGCTCTGCCACTGAGCTACACCCCTAGTCTTTAAAGTACATTCTTAATAGAGTTCCAGAGAACACACACTTTAGAAAAGGTGAAGTAGGCGAGAGAGCTTTGAGTTTGGTTTTAGCCTGTAGTTCAAGAAAACTAATCCCTGGGTAACAAAAGCACACTGGCAATCTCACCCACTCCACCCACCCACATATACATACACAGACACAAGGAGAAATAGATTGCAATGTTCCTCCTCATCTCTCATTTCCAGAGTTCTCATAAAAAGAGCAATGAAGATAGATAGAATATACTGATGCCATCAGATACATTATACTTGGCAATTAAGGGGTTAAGCTACACTACTTTTCTGGAAACCTTCCAATTCCCTATCTACAAATGCAATTCTCCTTACTACCTGTAATACCTAGCTTTTAAAATATGGCAGGACAAGAGTTAAGAGCAACACTTCAGAAGGAAAAAGAGAACTTGGTTCAGCTCCACCCTCTCGAAAGCAAATATCAACAACTCGGAGCCAAATCCACTCAGCATATGCCACACTCCATGAACATACCAAAAAAACAGGTGAAAAGAAGCTGAGTTTCCTCAGGTTTCTCACCTTACAACATCACTTTAAGTAGACTTCACAAATTTGTGAAACACATTTGTATCAGATGAAACAAAAAGCACATTCAAAATTCTACAAGATTTGAGAAACTAACAAGTCATGGAAGTCACTACAAATCAACAGAAATAGCTAGAATTTGGGTGAAGAAGGTCAAATAGTACCCATGGAAACAAAACAAAAACAAAAAGATACAAAAATAGAAGGAATATAGGCCCTAGAACTTAAGTTCTAGGAAAAAACCCTCCCCAATTAGAGGGGCAATTCTTGTCCCCAAAAAATATAGGGAAAGGTTGCTTTAGTCACCAAACGGAAAGGAGGTGTCATTTACTATTAACCCTATATTTCTGGGAAGAAAGGTATTCACCAGATAAAAACAAGCAGTTACTGACAGCCTGGACGTCACTGTAAAGGATAGTATAGGAGCACCTGGTCTTGCTAGAAATAGGTGGGAAGAAATGAGTCATTATTTTAATTTTGTTTAGAACACTCAGCATCCCAACCCTCTAGGTCACAAAACATTTTCTTCCTGTTTCCGTCACTTTATTGGTTTTCTTTCCAAACTTGTGAAGTTGAACTAGAATACTGGGGGAGGGAGGGCTAAGAAAAAGCAAGAGGTAAAAATGATAAGTCCTTTGGTTGGTAGAAAGAGACAATAGGGTTGGGGCATTAAGTACCTGGAAGTAAATAACTAGCAAATGATTAATATCTAGACTCCCTCTCTTGGACAATGTTCAGTATCTTTCAAAGCTTTCATAGTAAAAAAAAAAAACAGACAAGTAGCTCCCTGGAGGAGGCAGTAAGAAATTAGAATTTAGGATGAACAAAGGTAATAAAATAATGATAGGGCTACATGAATAGCAATATTCCCTCAGACTCAGATTGAAAGTAATTGACACCTGAGGAAAGCTACACTACAGTTAGGAAATGGGATGGCAGTAGCCTTGGTTGGGGCATAAAACGTGACAGAAGAGGAGTTGAGGAGATGGTTATCATAGGAAATGTATAAAAAGCAATTCGATTACTCACAAACTTCTTGGACTTGAAATCTAATTTCCTCCCCGCGGGGGAGGTTTATCACCATTCTGGGTTAAGAAGGGCATAATCCTGAGAAGTTCTAACCCCGTGAAAAGTGATAAGCAACAGGGCAGAGACAGGTTCTCTGAATAGAGAAATACTGAAAAGCCAATTATCGTCATGCCCCAATGACCACAGGACCTGGGCAGGAACTCATTCCTGTAATCACAAGGACAAATGTCCAAGGGAGGAGAAGAGGTAGGGCCCAAGTCAGGTAACATTCTTGAGGGGAAGGATTATCAGGTGACACCGGGCTGAAGGCCCTGAGGGGGACGAGATGGGAGGAAAGTTAGCAGGTGAACGGCATCAATCATGGGAAAGGAAGTGACCTTTAGGAGAAGGAAATAAGATAACACCAAAAAGGGGGTAAGGGCGAGAAGAGAAAATGGACCCAGAGAGGGGACCAAAAAGAGAAGGTATGTTTGGGTTCTAGGGGCAGACGAAAGAAAGTGGAGCCGCTGGGGGCTGAGAGCGTGAGGGCCGAGGAGTAAGGGAAGCCCCGAGGTTGCCGGGGCAAGAGCCAGGTGGGACGCCGGAGCTTCCAAAGTCCCGGAGGGGGAGGATGCCAGGCTGAGGAGCCAAGGACCAAGCAGAACGAGGAAAGGAGGTGCGGGGGCGGGCCCCTGGCGACCGACCGGAGCCCCTGGGGTCTCTGGAGTCCAGAGGGCGGCTATCAGGCCGGGTTGAGGGACCTGGGTGGGAGGGACACTCACGAATTTCTTGGATTTGCCGCCGTCGCCGCCCGTCGCAGGCAGCTCATCCGGGCTCCGGCCCTTCTTCTTGTCCCTGGTCCCGCGTCCGGGCCCCAGGGCCCCGCCGGACGGCTCCATGTCCTGATTCGCGCTCACCAGTGACCCTGTACCTACGCCGCTCCCGCCCGGCTGCTCCACGCCAGTAGCCGCCGCCGCCCAGCAGCTCCTCAGCCGGCCGCCGCGCCCCGCCTCATTAGCATGCCGAGCTGCGCGCGCCTCATGAATATACAACGGTGACGCCTCGCTCCCGCCCCCCTGCCCCACTTCCGCCCGGACCCGCAGCCCCTACCAATGGGGGCAGGGAGGGGGGGTGAGGGAAGCCGCGGAAGCGCGCTACCTGCCCGGCGGGCCTAACCATTTGGACCCACGTGGGGGGGGCGGGGTGTTAGCGAGTGGGCGGTGCAGCTCTGGCGCCTGCAACTGGGAGTACCGCCCTCTGGCGGTTGGAGCGGCTCAGGCCTCTTCGCTCCCACGCAGCGCCCACGTGGCCGTAAAAACCTAGACCCTTCACACATCCCGGACCAGAGTATTACCTGAACAAAAAAATCACGAAACCGTTAGGCTGGCAGAAAATTTGGTGCTGGGCGCTTTGGGATAACGCAGTTTTCAATGTGTTCAGTAAACATGGAGCAAGCATATGAAAAAAAAAAAATTAAACCAAAAGCTACCATTTATTGAAGGCCATGTACCAAAAACAAGGCGTGGTCCGCTCAATGCTGGACTCCTAACTAGATTAGTTCTGGAGTTAGAATTTCCCAGTTATGAATCCCAGGTAGGGATTATGTTTCTAATGTGTACAAACTAATTATCACCAATAGCCTAAGCAGTAATAATGGACTTAGCTAAATGCACGTTCCTTGCCAGGCACTATGCAAAATATTACAAACCTTTTCTTACTGAACACTCACAATCTCATGTGAAAAGTTCCATTGGTCTCACCGTTTTACAGATAAGAAATTTGGATTGGGGAGAGTTAAAATAACTTGATTAAGCACACATAATTGGCAAAAAAATTTAAGCCCAGATTAATCTGTCAAGCCCTGTGTTTAACCAGGATTCCCCACTGGCATAAATCAAACATTCCTTAAAGAATGATGTTCTCCAACAGTATGTTCTTTGCCCTTAGCATGATTTTCTCCCTCAGCAATTTCATCCATTCTCCAACTATCTCTGTCTTGTGTGTGAAAAGTACATGGCACCCTGTGGGCCCTCAAAGTATGGAGTGAATATTCTTGACCACAGCAGACATGGAGGGCAGTGACTTACTAGGGTCCCCAATGCTTAGAGTATGGCCTGGTAATACCAGACTCTGCTAAGCAGGTTGCTCCTCAATCTAGCCTTCATCTCCCTTGTGCTCTAGACCTAATTGCCTGGTAGAAAGTTGCACAGAGCTGTCCAGACCATACTTCAAACTCAGTTTGTCCAAAACAGTTTAAAAACTACTTTCTAAGCGAACATGGTGGGCAACAGACTGAAAGGACTGAGGGAGTGACCCATCTACCACTTCTCTTTCTTGTACCACTGTCAATGTGTGCTAAATTTACCACATTTCTTACTGACTGTAAACTCCTCCAGAGAAGGGTCTATGTTGGCAGCATTTACAGTATCTAGTAATGTTTTTCACAAAGACAGTTAATGAGCAACTTTTTAATATTTAGCACTGTGTTAAGACTTACCATGTTTCATCTCAGTTTATCTTCATCAACAAGCATGAGCAGGCCAATCACCTACGTTAACAAACCTGAAGTCACCTTCTTTGCCATCTCAAGCTAGTTATCTGCCCAAGTTTGTCTAACTCTCCACCAAAATGTTCTATTAACTCCCTATGTACAAGTAAAATAATCCATGTAGAATATATACACAGGACCTAACATAGGGTACTGAATAAATGTTAACTATGATTTTTATTATATGCATCATCACCCCATTTCCCTTTCCCTTCATACATAATTAGCAAGAATTAATATTCCCAGAAAGGTACAAAAAATACCAACTTGGTTTATTGGATTAAAAACAGTGGTAAAATGGACATAAAACCAAAAGTTAGACAAGACATGTTCATATCCTCCCCTACACAAAACCATACTTCCCATTGTCTATAGTTAAGATGTTATGGAGCCAGAGCCCCTACCACCCAAAACCCTCACCCTTTGCTTGTCCTGGAAGTAAGGCCTGCAGTAGAACCCAAAGGAGAAGGATGTTAGAGACAACCTCAGTCCTCTCTACCCCTTCATCCCTGAGTCTCTGGGTTGGAGGGAAGCAGGGAAGGAATAAGGGACCAGAAGGGTTGGGGACTGGCTATTAGGGTCTACTGCCCAGAATGTCCCAAAGCCAGCTATACTTCCCCATCTCATCCCTAATAAGTACCATTGTCAGGCTGTGGGAGAGAAAGGAAAAGGGGATAGATGGTTCTAGAACCACATGTGATCTCCAAACCCTTCCTCAGAGTTAGCCTCAGGTTCCCAGACTAGGGATGCACACCTTTTCCCTTCCCACCAACAAGGCATGAAAAAGAATTCCTTGAGACATAGCATTCCAAGACGCTCTTAAATTTCCACGTCGCTTTCCTTGTCATTATCGTGGTCTCCATCATAGAATTCATTGGGTGCCTCTGGCCTGCAAAGCAAGGGCAGACAGATCATAATCCTGCTCTACAACTTTCCAGCACCCTCTCCAGAGCCATTCCTCAGGGTCTCTGGGAATTCCTCTTCTCCTTTTGGTAGAGAATGATTGCTATACATACATCCACTCACATATTCAATAAACATTTATGGCGAATACTCTGTGCCAGGCATGTGTCAGAGGCTTATAGCAGATAATTAGCCAGACCAGGCTTTCATCCATCATGAAAAAGCTTACCTAATAAATGAGACCAAAGATTTAGTAAGTAATATAATTTCAGGTGGTGGAGAACATTAGGAAAAAAAAAAAAAAAGAAAGAAAGAAAGTAACATGATTGTGAGTGATAAGAGGAAAATGGTAAATTCCAGACAGGATTTTTAGGGGAAATTATTTTAAGAATGAAAGCCTAAAGTTTGGGAAGCCAAGCAAACATCTCAGGAAAACTGTTCCAAGCCTCATAAGGTAGAAAAAAACTGGTATATTTTATATAACAAGGAGGCCATGATGGCTGGGCGTTGTGTCATGAAGGAAAGTAGTTACAGATAAGATCACGGATGGAAGTCAGGATCAGCACACAGGGCCTTTTTAAGCCAGAAGTGGAGGACTGACTTAAACCTACACTGAGAGAAGGGATGTGAAAGAAACACAGGGCCCAGTAAATACTCAATACTGATTTCTTTCTTTTTCAAAAACTACTCTCTGAGAGAAAACTGAGTCATCAAAGAGTAGCTGAGGGAATAAGTCAGTTAAGGGTCTATCTACTTGAGCCACAGGTCAGTTATCTCACCACAAAGATAAAAGTTGTGGGGTCACAAGCTTAGATTTGTATCTTAACTAGCTTTATGACCCCAGGAACATTATTTAACCTCTCTGAGGCTTAGACTCCTCCTCAGGTAATCTGAGGATAAGAGCTACTCTTAGCATTGTCCAATGGCACCAGAACAATGACATGATATGTATGTTGTAGTATAAAGCACCTAGTATTGAGTCTGGTGCTTGGCAAAGCCACAGAAGTGGCAACTCTTATTATTACTACTCTGCAAGTCATATGCAAGTTGGAGCTATAGGATCAAAGAAGAACCAGAACTCAGTGGGTGGTCTGACAGGGAGGTAGGGCTTAGGAACAGGAAGAAAGGCCTGAGGCTTCTGCTGACTGTTGAAAGGGTGTGGTATAATGTGCAGACTAGACCCAGATGTCAGTCTGTTACTATTGATGAAAAAGCCAAACTTTGACAAAAGGAAGAACTTAAAAACAGGTTTTGCCAAACCAAATCAGACACTGAAAATCAATTTCCAGAAGTCAAGCTTTAGAAACCTAGAAAAACTGAGAAGGAGATGACTCAAAAGCTCTGAGGCCAGATGTTTAGATATTTCCCAACCCAGGCCAGGCAATAAGGGGGTTTTCATAGAGGAGGGAAGATGGACAGGTCCTAAGGGTTAGAGTACTAAAGTCCATGTCCAAAGGACAGAGACACTGGCTGGAACTCTGATTATGAGTTGTGAATGTGAGAAGCAGACTCTAGAAGGGTCTGAGAAGCTCACCAGACTGCAGCAGAGCAAGCTTCAACTTCTAACACTGAACAGGAGCAGGACTGGGTATCCTGCAAATGTCCAGCTGTGGTTGGTTATTCCTCAATATTGTAAGGAAATCTGTTCTCCACAAGTGCATCTGGTTTTGCACTTCTGGGTTCTCTTGTTTTTTTCCCTTCATTTTTCAGAAAAGTTTGTTTTGATATTTTAAAAACAATTTCTATCCTCACCGTCCCCTATTCATTCTCTCTATAAATATATCAGTATGTATCTCAGAAAGACAAAAGCTTTTTTTGAAAGAAACAGAACCACTATTCTCAAACCTGAAAAAAAAATGAACAGAAATCAAACAACATTAAAGAGCAATATGCAGGCAGTGACCTGTCCAGCCAACCCAGAAGAAGACTAAAATGCTGGCAAGAATGTAAATTCTAAAGACTTTTTGGAGGGCTGGGGATACAGCTCAGTTGGTAGAGTGCTTGCCTCACATGCACAAGGCCCTAGTTCAATCCCCAGTACCACACATACACACAAAAAGACTTTTTGGAAGGCAATGTGACAGCAAATACAAATGATTTTTCTGCATTCAACTTTTGACCTAATAACAACAATTCTAGGAATCTAACTCATTTAAACAAGCATGCAAATATGTAAACATAAAGGGACTCATTGCCACCCTCTTTATTACCATAATAGCAAAAAAAGGGGGATTATATAAATTAATGTAACTGTCCATCAATGGTAGTTAGTTAAATTAGGTTATATCCACACAATGGAATATTATACAGCTGATAAAATACAGAAACAGATCCATATCACTAACACAAAGATACGATATCTTATTTTAAAAAAAGACAAGTTTAAGTTTAGAGCCACATGTACAGAATGTTTCCATTTAGACTAACAAAAATCAAAACCCCCACAAATAGCAAACTCTATGAATGAATATATATGTTCACAGTATATATGCATTAGAAATATACTTGTAATTTACAGAAAAAAAGGTCTATCTAAAAAGATATAAATCAAACTATTAATGGTAGTTACTTCTGTGGAATGGGTCTGGGATTATGTGAATGTAAATGTAACCTACTTTGATGTTGTTTATAATTGGGGGGGAGGGTGCCGGGGATTGAACTCAGGGGCACTCAACCACTTAGCCACATCCCCAGACATATTTTGTATTTTATTT